ACTCCCGAGATCCGACATTTTGCCAGCGCCCTTACAGTGCCCCAATACACTCGGCATGCCCAGGCTGCAGTGACGAGGGAGCGCGACCATCCTGCATGTGCCCGAGAGCTCAGCAAGTGTAGCTTCGCGGGCCCTTCTGTGCGGCCACGTCCCCGTGCCGGCCAACGTCCGCGACCTCCAGCGCGACCTGGGGGCCCACGCCCAACTGGCGACCAACGGGCCCAACTGCCTGGGGGCCGACCTCGGAGCAGCAGACGAGGCAACGCTACCACTGGCACCATCCAGTGCGCCAGGAGCCAGTTCATCTTCCAGCGCTGGGTTCAGGGTAGTGGATCCGGCACTTGTTGCCAGTCCACGACTACGAGCCAGTCCAGCAGCTGGTGCAGCGCCGAGACGGAAGGCACCGCGAGCTGCCGACGCTGCTGTAGGCAACCCAGCGCTTGTAGACTGGACTCGCTCTGACATCGCCACGTGGCAACTAGCACTACGTGGCAACTCGCGCGAGACACGCGTGCGAGAGCTATGCAAGCTCCATGTCCTGTCGTGGCCCGTTGCTGAGGAGGAGATGTCTCGAGCACTGCGTGCAGCCAACATGCCGCAGCCCATCCTCGTTCTCATTCCCACAGTTATATCAACGACTGTCGGACATGTCGTAAGTGGCTTCCACCGGCGTGCCAGACCCCCCCCCGCGCGACGCCGTTCGACGCGATTTCACCGGCGCGTTAATGCGACATCCATCATTTCAAGGATCGCAGGATACTGCGCTTGATCTGCCGCGCCTCGCGTTGGCACAACGGCCAGGAGATCTCATGCAGATGCCACTCAACCTTGCTGCCATAAGTTGGCCGATATTGCACCCAGCTATTTGGATCAGTGGAGACCTTCATCGTGGATGGCGAAGTGCGTCGCTGGGGAGATGAGGGGGAGAGGGTCCCAGGTGTATATCCGTGCTCCGCGTCAGCAGGCTCGTTTAATAGTGCGGCGCGGTGGGGTGCGGCGACATGCGCTGCGAGCCGCCGAAGAGCAGCTAGAGCGCGGAAGCATTGCCGCCAACTTCGACTCCATGCTGGCCCATGCCATCTTCGATGGCAGCGGCCCTGTCCACGTGGGCGGCGTTGCGCCGTGCAGGGTCGTCTTCGGCAGGCAGGCCTCCATGCTGCTCCCTCTCGAGGCGGACGGTGAGGGTGAGAGCGATTATTGCGCTGGAGCCGGCCCTGCGGTTGGCGGTGAGTTGCAGCCCGGCCGACTGCAGTGGCGTATCCGTGATTTTTCCCTGCGGTGTATGTTCGAGGCTACATCGATCGCCCGGGTTAATCGCGCTCGCTGGACACGCGCCGCAGAGACCCGAAAGGGATGCTTCAACGTGGGCGACCAGGTGGAGGTTTGCCGGCCTCCCAGTACAGAGGATGCGTCAGGCTGGGCAGCCCCTGGCGCCGTCCTTTCTGTCGGCCAGGCCAGAGGCAAGGTCGAGGTCATGCGCCGCGACGCCGAGGTGGTCTGCAGACTGCAGGAGGTACGGACCTTCATCGGTGCCGTCTTTAACGACATGGGCGCTGGCATGGCGCGAGCCAGACTGGCCTGGAACCGCGTGGAGGTCTTCGTAGAGCACATCGCGCCGGACTCAGGATCCAGGACTTTCGGCCACTGGGTGGACGAGCAGGGCCAGCAGCTCACCGAGCAGGCTTGATGCCTTGCGCCCCTTGTCCCGCAGGTGCTTCCAGCCACCGGGCGTTTGTGCCGTGTGTCTCGTGCGTGGCCATCAATCGGTGGGCGATTTGCCGGGCTTTGCCCGCCGTCTGGTCATCTGGTAGCTCCTCCGAGACCCAAGCGACGTCCACCAATTGCGCTTGGACGGCGTCAGGTTTGATATCCACTGCTTTGTTGGCGGGCAGTGGGAGGGTGCTAGAATCGTCCAGTTTATGCTGGTGACGAACGGCCACTGGCAGCAGACGCCTGGCAGGGCCAGGGCGGGGCTTTCAATGCCTCTGTCATCGACGTCCCCGAGGGTGCCGCCAGCCTCGCCGAGGGTGGTTCACCATCGGCCCTGTCGGTGATACCCGAAGGGGCCGACAGCGACGTCTCCGGCCACATCCAACAGGTGATGTTGGCAGCTTGGCAGGAGGTCGATGGCGCCGAGGAGTTGGCCCGGGAGCTGCAGGAGTTGGAGGGCGCCGACAGCCGGCAGATGATCTTCGCAGCTGTCGAGCACGGTTCCGCCAGCATAGGCCGACGGCCACGCGAGTGGCCCCAGCGCGTGCAGACGCAGCACCAGCGTCAGCACATCCACGCGTAGTGTCACTATTACCTGCGCGGCGCCTCTTTAGCCGACTACGCCAGGCAAGGGGGGATGGGGGATGAAGGGGGATAACGCGTAGAATTGTACCTGGGCCCGGGAGTACGAGAACCATATCTGAGCTGCCACTAAGGCAACTATGTTGCCGGCGCATCCACCGCGGCCGCGCCCGGGGTGCATGCCACCGTCGAGATCGCGGCAATCAAG